TCGATGCTGCCCGGGCCGACAGCAGGAGTAGGACAATGTGGAGATGATTTTCTGCTGTCAAGACTTAAGTAAACAATCCAACAATCCATAGCTCCAAAACCTTTACAATTCAAGCTCAGCTTACAACAACCAAAGATCTTGTTTTCATTTTGCATGTTTTTTACCAAACATATGCTCACCTCATAAGAAGTTTTGTAATGTTATAGTATAACAAACGGAACATTTTTGGTTGCCCATAGATACCAAGATTGTCAAATTCAGAATTGAATTGAGAATGCCTTTTTGATGCTTATGGATTTAATTGAACTGCAAACAGAATGCAGAATTGTAATTTACATTTTGAGAAAGATAGATTGATTTGTATTTAATTTATATATTTAATCATATTTATTAATTGGACCATGATGCAGGAACACTTCATTTTGCAGAATGCATTACATGAGTTGATTCTCTTTCAATTTTAATTCAGTAAATTTTCCATTCAAAACTGTTCCATTTGAACTTCAAAGTGACCAATTTAATTCAAATTTAATTCAAATTCCAGCTCAAGAAACATTTTTAATGCTTTATCAAAAGTGTGCTTTCTCAAAAAAGAAAGAGAGCATGTTGGTGGGGATGTTTTTGTTTGTTAAGATGCCTTCATATCATTGGTGTTTTATTAAAAATCAATTAGAAAAAGAGAAATTGTTGGTTAATAAATGTGCCTATGAAATTTGCCTAGAAAGGGGTCCAGTTTGGGCTTTTCTAAATATATGCGTGAAGGGAGGAATAAGTCAAGGGAGGATTGAATCTGTGTGTTAGCATTTGATTTTGCAATCACTTCTCTGTACTGTAAGATACCAGTGTTGTTGTGTTTTTTTTACAGGCAGTAAAAATGATTGTTTTAGCACCGTACAAATAACAGCAATAATAATTGGATGTGCATTTAACCTCAATCATCAAAATGTAAATGTTGCGGATTCTCCTTTGGAATTTAATTATATCGCAGCTTGTAATCGACTATAAACCCAAACAAAACAATCAAAATACATATTAACAGGCTCAGCATGATAAGGAAACAATCTTCTAAACAGAGATAAACCATCTCACGTATTCCTCCAGCAACCCCCTCACCTTGTGTTTGCTCTTTTGTGATCTCTTTGAAAGCATCAAAAGATGCAAGCGCTCTCTAATGTTTCTCTTCCTCATGCCCAGAGAATAACCCCTCGATCACACTGCCAACATTCTTTTTTAAAAGCGCAAAGAAAGATGAATTTGGGCCATAAAGGCGCGTATCACAAGGGCTTTTTATCCTAAATGGTCCTTAGAATTGTTATCTATAGGGATGGCGCATTCCCAGCACTGTCGTGTTCAATCAAGTGTCCACTTAGCCGCGGCCAGGAGTAATTGTCCCCAAGTGGGCCACACACTGACCTGTTAATGTCTGTGTTGACCCTCTAACCTTGTCAGCACGTCTAAGAGAAGAGCTCTAAATCATTCTGATCTCCTCCGGCTCTTCCCGTGCTGCTGGGTTAAAAGGGAGATCACCGCAGGCAAACCACTCCCTTAAATTGTCCCATCTTGGGTAGGTCATTGTCTTGAGGATGAGGTCCAGATTCAGGATTCACACTTCTTTATCGCTGCACAATCATGGTGGTGGTAAATGTGTTCAGTACTGTGGAGTGCAATAGCAGCTGAAACACATAATAGCTAAAATGTAACTAACTGTACAATAATATGGTATGGTAATACAGTAAAACAATTAAAACACAGTATAAAGAGTACTTGCTGTGAGCAGAAGACTTATAATTTCATTTTAGTATGACTGGCACTTGCATATGCAAAACTTGCCGTCACAATGCTAGTTTTTGTGGTTGGATGCAAGAGCATTGCTGTTTGGTTGCTAAGGTGTGGCTCATGTTTATGCACTGATGTTTAATGTTTAAGAGTTAGGGGTTTTGAAAAACCACAGCACCACTAATACATTTTTTTTTTTCTGTGGTTCTTTTCAACACCTGAGTTTCTTATGTCTTTTTATCACTAAATATTTTTCACCGTATAGGGCCAGAGAGGAGATGGTCCAGAATTTGAATTTTTTTTTTTTAATTTAAAAAATAATATTGGGCATTATCTGAGTATAAGAAGCACAGTTTATGATACCATTATTTTTTAGATATTATTCTTGATTTGAAATGTTTCATTTTATAAAACAGTTTACACACTTTACTATCCCATGAGACCACAGCAGAGGACTTGTAAATGGTACAACTGCGATGCAACTGATGCTTGTAGGTCTTTTTAAGAGAGTCATTGAATTGTTAATTCAACTGATTCATTCAGTAAAAGGATGATTCATTGAATCATTCATTCAAGCGATTCATTCAAAAATGCTGATTTATTCAGGAATGAAATGCAACTTCTGAGTGTTTGCTCAGAGATCCGCAGGATTACTTTGCTGTGGCTTTTTTTGTAAATATTTTGTTGGTGGAAAAGATGTAACTGGCAATAATGCATCTAAAATGTAAGTTACTCCGTATTCTCTTTTCGTTTATTGCACTGTGGTGTAAAAGCAATATCACATGCGCAATCGTGCTGAGGCTCAGAACATAGCATATCAGATGGCATTCTAAGATAAAATAATTCCTCCGCAGGATTAGCTAATGCAGACACAACTAGGAGTAAGCAATTTCTAGGAGTTTCTTAATTTCCTATAAGTTTAAAGTTTCTGTGACTATGCTGAGTCCCGATTAGCCTGGCATAGCAACAGCGGCAACCAATTGTGCGAGTTAGAGGTAGGGGCGCAGGGCTAGTTATTTGACTGGCCAATGGCAGCCGAGGAGGATTGTTTTGAGAGATCTGTGTGAAAACAATTTATTTGGTATGCTGCTAAATGATCTGAATCAGATTGGAGAAGTTTGTTTTGTAATAGTGTCATGTGAAATATTAGGTTGCAGGTTTAAATTGCTCTGTTTTATTTTAGATTATGTGTCTCCTTGTGGTGGATGGGTAGACCACATATTTGATATAAAGCAGAAAGAATACTGTGAGTATAGTGTGTTTCTATCACACAGTGTGATTTTTCACCAGTCTTTTCGCAGTTGTGGGAAACTTGACACACAAATAATGGCAATTATCAAACTACTCTAAAGTGGCTGGTAACTGGTTTCTGTCTGAGACTGACAGGGACGGTAATTTGTGTGAAATGTGGATTAAAACCACATGTTGGAGATGCCGAGGTGTGTTGTATTGAGCAGTTAGTTTGCCACCAAAATGATGTCGCTGAGTCAAACCTGTGAGTTCTTGCGTGCCCTGAGGAAGATATTATTGCTTTGAGGTTGCTCATTCATACACAGAACATACATCTATCAATCAACATTTGTTTTTTGTGTTTCTTTTAATATTCCTTTGGAATTTGTATAGTTGCACTTTTTGCATAATGTATATATACAGTATGACCCCTTCATTTTTTCACGTTTTATGGTGGAGCCTTGTGTTAAAATTAATGCTTTAATGCTGGATACTTACTTGAAATGTATGTTAGACCCAGTTCCCAGTTGTTTCTAAGTAAAAATACATACAAATAAAACTATTCTTGACATACAATTATAGTTTAGAACTATAAAATAAATGTGGATTTTACACTGGATGACTAGCTGTTCAAAAATTCAGGGAGTCGATTAGTGAGTGAGACTAATTTATCAAGGTTTTTAAAACTTTGTCTTGTTGACAGCCATACACGTCTTTAGTTGTGTTTTACACATTTGGTTTTGTTTTATTTTCCTTCCTGTTTGTAAAGATGACATTTTAAAGGTTAATGTATGTGGCTGTTTTTTTGTTGTTGTTTTTTTGCCACTTCCTCTCTTTCAATGAAGATCAGATCATCCATCTCTATCCTGGAGTAGCTTCCATCTCTCTTTCACTTTCATGTGCCCTAGCTGCTCTTAATACTACAGTTACTACTCCCTCCTCTCTCTCTCTCTCTCTCTCTCTCTCTCTCTCTCTCTCTCTCTCTCTCTCTTTCTCTCTTTACCTGTAGCTATTTCCTCTTGCTCCTTTTAAACTCCCTATTTTTGGAATTCATTGATGTGAGAGTCATAAATACCAGTGAGGGGGCAGAGGGGTCTTTTGGGATCGTGTATTTTCTGCAGCAATGACAAGAACGCGGGAGGCTAATCTAAGCGGCTCTTATCTGAAGCTGCTTAGCGCCCGACGCGGAACAGAGGAATGTGGCCAGCTAAGGGGGTTAGCGCTAGCTAAATTCCAATCAGAGGAATGCCATGGAGATGAGCTGTAATGCAAGGGTTGATTTTATTGGGTCTGTTGGGGACATACTGTGAATATTTGGCTTCTAGGAGGGGACAGGCCAGAGTTTGTATGTAATTGAGAGTTCTGGAATGTTGAAATTGTACCATGTTGATCTGATGTGACACATATAGCTAACTATTTTTGAAGCTTTTTTTAAATTTATTTTTGGTTTATTTATTTATTTATTTTATTTATTTATGCATTTAGCAGACGCTTTTATCCAAAGCGACTTACAGTGCATTCAGTCTATAAATTTTTTACCAGTATGTGGTGTTCCCTGGGAATCGAACCCACGACCTTTTGCGCCGCTAACGCAATGCTCTTCCATAGTATGGAATAAAATACAGAAAATGTGGATAGACATAATCTTTTTTTTTTCCACTAAACGAGCACAAGGAAATATTTGAAAATAATTTATATAGTAATTGTCAAAATAATTAACATTTATATTATTAAATCTGAAAATGTGTTAAGATGCATTTAGGTCAGTTCTGGAATTAATTTGTCACCAAATTAAGCATTTGTGGTTGGATTTCATCACGTTTTTGCCTTTTTCCTTTCTCATTTGAGTCATCATCCAGGTTTATGTGGGTTGAGTGAATTTAAGGGACTTCCCCCACCTTTAGAGAATGGTATCAATTCCTGTTTGTAATTTTGCTGAAGTTAATATGCACTTGTGTCTCTCTCTTGTCTTTTTTGCTCATTTTGTATTTCAGATTGAGCTGGCTGCACCGTATCCAATGGTTCCGCCCCTTTGTTCCCTTTTCTGAATTCTGATTGGAACAATGGAACGTCAATCCCGTCCAAACAAGTGACTGTGGTATGTTATCTTCAGAATTTTTCCTTGAAACCACGCAAATGTATGTTTTCTGCTGTGCCACCTTTTTTTTTTTTTTGCATAGTAGTAAAACGGATGTACAGTATGTATTTTACTCTGACTACAACCAGTTTTTTTTTTTTTCTTTTTTGCACAGAGGTTGGTGTTTCATATGTCAGAAGACTTGATGATTTTATATGATGTATTTTATTGAATTATCAACTTTTGATTTAGAATTTTCTCATAAAATTTCCTAGGATAAATATAATTAGATAGAAATGAAGTCGGTGTTGACATATAGTAAGTGTGTTGTGGAAGAATTTGATGAGAAATGTTCTGAATTCATTCTGAAATCTCTACTTTTGAGACCTTGTTGAGATGTTTTCTGAAACTCTAGGCGTCAGCAGAGTCTCTGACTGCGTCTCATTTCGGAGGCTGCGTCCTCTGGAGGTCGCATTTGAAGGCTGCATACGTCATCAGGGCAGTCTCATTTAATAAAAGTAGCCGTTAAATTGCAAAGTAAAAAAAGAAATTACAGTATTTTACACCTCACAATGAATAACAATCAATTTTATTACGGTTACTTTTCTTAAATAAGACATCCTTGATGATGTATGCAGCCTACAAATGCGACCTCCGGAGGACACAGCCTCCGAAATGAGATGCAGCTTTTATTTGATCTCCATGAATTATTATTTGTGAAACAACTCATATCTGGCAAATTTGAGTGTAGTTTAAGGCATTGTTGAGCTCTCTTTCTGAAATTTTAGAGGGTATATGAGATTATTGGGGTCTTTTTCTCAGAAAAAATCAGGAGATATTTAGTTTCTATTTGCACAGCCTTTAACCTGTGGATATTTAGTATCTGGCAACTTTGAGCACAATTTGAAACATTGAGATCTCTTTTGTACTTGAGACATGTTAGATAAATTGAGTTGTTTTTTATAAGTCATGTCGAAGAAGAAGGAAGCTTAAGCAAGATCTCCATTTAATCTCATTAATGTCTCAATTTTTTTTTCTCCTAGACGGCAAAGAGATCATCTTTCTCTTGTCTACGAGAACACTCATCCTGAAACCCCAAACTTTCTTAAGATCTTTTTTTATCTGGGTTGTGTTTGTTCTCTTTACCCAATGGTTGGTACTTCTGCCCATTTGCCTTTGACCCACTTTTAGTGTCATTGTCCAACTTTCTACGCACACCTTGGCAATATAATCGCCATTGGCTCGTACATTTTTTAGTTTACTTTAGTAAATATTTTATATATATATATATATATATATATATATAAAAATAATTAATTCATTGTATAATAAAATAAGTGCAAATAAGTACCCAATTTGGCATTAGTTTTATTCCGCTCTGAAATGACATGTAATTTCAAAATTAGATATATAGATAGAACACATTAGTTAATTATTTAGCATTAATAAATTACGTAAAAAAATTTTACCCAATTTGTAATTATTTATATTTCTGCTCTGAAATGACATGTAATTTTTTTAATAATATTTAAACATTCTGTCATGTAATATTCATTCATTTTGCACCAGTTTACATTTTGCTGACAAAAATTACGTAATTTTTTAAGAATTTAAACATAATTTTTTCATGTAATTTTCATTAATTGTACACTATTTTACATTTTGCGGACCCAAATTACATGTCATTTTTAAATAGTATTTAAATATTATTCCATCTTGATTCACTCTCTGCCAGCAGGTGGCGCTTAAAGCGTTTCCGCTGTAAACAAAGAAGCGCTGCACATATGAACTAGATGCAAGATGAAAAGAAAAAATACCATCTAAACTTTTCTAAAGACAGTAAGTTCCCCTCAGACATGCATTCATATAAACTCCTACCCCTAATTGAATCGCGATTTGTTTGGCATCTCAACCGATTTGAATCGTCACATATTTGAATCGATTTTCAACCGGCTCGCGGTTAATCGTTACATCCCTAATACTACTACTAATTCTAGTACTATACTAACAATATACAACACATTAAGGATTGATGAGCTGCTGGGTTCATGAATATTAATCCCGTTGTCTGCTTTCGCTCAAACTGATTTGCTGAAATCAAAATCGGGATGGTAATAGATGAGCGCCAGCCAATGAGATTGCAGTTTGCGCATTAGTTCCGCCTAATACCGGAGAAACGGGCATATCTTCTGGTTGTTCTTAAAAGCTGAATAATTCTAAATGAACTAGTTATTTTGACAGGAATGACATCCATTGAGCTGAATTGAAATAGTACAGATCACTTGACGGAGAATGAAACTCTCAAGCTCTCAGATTGTTCAGCGAGTGGAAATTTATCTATGCTAAACTTGTAATTATCCTCTAACACACACACACACACACACACACACACACAGGTGAGTAAAATCTAAGAATTTATTAGCCAATGGCTAACAATAGACATTATTTAGTCACCCAGAGTGAAGATATAGTCGCTTATGCGAGTGATTTACTCGCAGTGTAGAGGGTTGCTGTCCCTTCACACTTATGTATTGCCATCAATGACTAGTCTTCCTGTCATCTTCACTTTGCAGCTTTGTGTGTGCGTGCTTGTATATTTGCAACTGGCAGAACACTTCTGTGCCATAGATCTGGAACGGTGCCAGTCCCCACCTTTCCCCCAATTAGAAGCAAACATGACATTTGTGCCGAGGTAATGGAATCCTTGCACAATTAAATCCCCCACTGCGAAGTGAAGTTGCTCCTTCCATCCCTCCATCCCTCTCCTTTCCTTTCATCCGCAGGAGGGAAGGCTGTGATGATGAGATCATCTCAGCACGTGGCCCCTTTATTCTGCTTTCCGTGTTACTTTTTGTTTTTAACTTATCCACATAAACATCTCTCTGCCTGGCAATTAATTACCACAAATGTCAATTAACCCCCTCCTTCTTAAAAAAAAAAATATTGTTGGAGAATTACATTTCAATTATAGAAATTATGTTGGAGGGCGGCAACATTAAATTGCTTTAATGAATTGTGCTGAAGGTGACAGTTGTTATTTTGCAGCCCGTCATGGTGGGGAACCTTCCGCCTGCTCTGATACAATGTGAAGTGGAGGATGAATAGAGGAAAACAGAAGGATGGGAATGAAATGAGTGTTGATAAGAACAGAGAGGATGCATTTCCTGCAGTAATGGTAGCCACTGTACGTAATGCTTCATTTGTGGGATACAGTGGGCAATGGTGTGAATCATTGTTCTGTGCCAGCAAAAGAGAAAGCACTTAGGGGTCTCTCTTTCTCTGTCTATCTCTTCCTCTCGTCCTTATTTGACTTGCACAACTGCTGATGGTGCATTTGCCCACCGGTTGTGCTCCAGGTCCGTTCCTCCATACATTATCATATATAAAGGAATAGTGCATGCAAAAATGACAATTCTGTCATCATTTACTCACCTTTATGTCGTTCCAAAACTGCATGACTTTATTTCTTCATTGTACTAGTTCTTTCCATGCAGGTAGTTCACATGGGGGCTGGCGCTTTCGAGTTTCAAAAAGGATGCAAAGAAAGGTGAAAGTATCAAAAACATGGTCCAAATGACTCATGCACTTTGATTCAGGTTTTCTGAATTCATACGATAAGTTTATGTGAGGTACAGTCTAAAATATACGTCACAAAAAAACAAACAAAAAAAAACTTCCTGTGCAGTGAGCTGTTAATCTGATTATTGATTCAGTGAGTCGAATTCAAGAACCGAACTTTGGTTTCAGTTTGATTCATTAACGAGTCATTTAGTCCTGTTCTGAGAACTAGAAGAACCGATTTTGGCTTCACAAATAGTGCGGATGTTGAAGAGAAGATTTTTGTATTTGTCTGCCAGACTATAAAATAGGGCTGGGTATCGTTCAAAAAATTTCGATACTGGTACCTTGACTTCGATAACTGGTTCCTGAATGATACTTTTTTTCGATACCAATTTTATGAAATCCATTTTAACAAGATTACATTACCTTAAAACTCATCTCCTGAGCCACTGCACAAAGGAACAAAATGTAACCTACACAATAAATCAGTGCAAATAGTTTTAATAGTTCAAATAGTTGTCAGTGCAAAATGAACAGTTTTAAGTCAGTATGTGAGGATCACTGCTGCATACTTAAGATCTTTAAATCACTCAGCAGTTCTTCAAAAAAATGAGCATGTCTGCTTTTTCAGGAGACAGACAAGCCCTCTCTTCAATGATGATGTCCTCAGGACTAATTGTCCCTAGGCTACGTTTACACTTGTGTGTTTTCGTTTTAAAACGCATAGCTTAGACGGAATCATCATTTCTATTCACTTTCCACTGATTTACGCAATCTGATGAACATTAGCTGCCCGTGTTTTCTCTTCCACGATCGCTGTTCTGACTCAGAGGAAGCTCATTTGCTGCTCATATGTCACTCATATTACATGTTCATAACCCGCCCTGTCTCCGACTACGAACATGCGTTACACTTCCAGAAAAACATTTACAGGGATGAAACATGAAGCTAGGAAACACGCGATTACGATAGTATATGATTTGTATGTGATTTTCATGAGATTCTGCCTATTTTTTATAACAATACAGTGTGTTTACATGAGAAATGCTAAGCAGGTGTAGCGATTAGCTTGATATAAAAGGCTACAAATAACATTTCTGCAGCATTATATGACCAAAACCCTCATTCGATCGCAATTTGAGGTTATTATAAACACTCGATGGTGGTTAAAAGTGAGTTTTGAGTAAAAATATTAGTATAAATAGTATACATTTTATAAATTGCCTTATGTAGCATGATGCTACAGTGTGAATTAATGGTCACGTAACACTAGGGGTGGGAATCTTTAGTCACCTCACGATCTGATCCGATTCCGATTCTGGGAGTCACTATCCGATTCCAGAACGATTCTTGATCTACTTTCCCCCCCTTATTAAATAATTAGTTTACCGACTTGAGAATCTTAAAATCCTTACATAAGTAATTAAGTACTTTTTAAAATAATTACAAATTGAAAAAAAATTATTAAAACAGTTGTATGTTAAGAATTTTAAACTAATATAACTTCAAAACATACAAGCAAGTAGCAAATAATAAAGAGGAGCATAGAAACATATTACAAACAACAAACAAAGAGTGCTTTCAGTATTTAAGATTATCTGAATGTTTTCCTTTCAAGAACTGTGAGTGATTTTTCTTCATCTTTACTGTTGTTTTTTTACTATGACATCATAGACAGCGGGAGATCTATTAAAGGGTTAGTTCACCCAAAAATGAAAATGAGGCTGTGTTTTACTCACCCCCGAGGCATCCTAGGTGGATATGGCTTTCTTCTTTCAGACGAATCCAGTCAGAGCTATATTTAAAATTGTCCTGGCTATTCCAAGCTCTATCATTGCTGTCAGCGGGTGTTGCAGTGCTTCAGTCCAAAAGAAGGAAATAAAAAGCACCCATCCATAAAAAACGGCTCCAGGGGGTGAACAAAGGCCTCTTGTAGCGAATCGATGCGTTTTTGTAAGAAAAATAACCATATTTAAAACGTAATAATCAATTTAATCTAGTTTGTGTGAGATTGGAATTGGAAGCAAGCAGAATACGGGTGTTTCTAAAGCAAACTCAGCTCTTCTGTCAGACGAATCCAGTCGGAGTTATATTAAAAATTGTCCTGGCTATTCCAAGCTCTATCATTGCTGTCAGCGGGTGTTGCAGTGCTTCAGTCCAAAAGAAGGAAATAAAAAGCACCCATCCATAAAAAACGGCTCCAGGGGGTGAACAAAGGCCTCTTGTAGCGAATCGATGCGTTTTTGTAAGAAAAATAACCATATTTAAAACGTAATAATCAATTTAATCTAGTTTGTGTGAGATTGGAATTGGAAGCAAGCAGAATACGGGTATTTCTAAAGCAAACTCAGCATCATCGCGCATCTGGTTAAAAACTAAGCTCAGAATCGATTCTGAAATTCTCGTTTTCCTTGATGCCTCACCAGAGCCAATCACCAGCACATGATTTAGGCACATCATGCATGCTTACTGGTTCACTGACGTTGACAAGATGAATCTCCTTATAGGCATCGAAATTTGGAACCGAACAACAAAACATGTTTCGATACCCGATAGTATCGAGGCAATTCGGTCGGTGCCTAAAGAGTATTGAACACGATACCCAGCCCTACTATAAAATGGCTGAAAAAATATTTCATAGACTTACATTGTGACTTTTGACTTGGACCATAATTTATTGCAAATTGTGTGTTCAGAAGCTTTACTCTTACATACATTTTAAATTTACATTTATTAATTTAGCAGACACGTTTATCCAAATTGACTTACAAATGAGGAATTCAACAAATGATCATAAAGAGGCAATAAACACAAGAAGTGACAATAACTGCGGCTAGGATCATATTAGTCTTTTTTTACAGTGCAACGTCTTATGTGTTGTTATACTCTTTGTATCTCTGACAGTTCACTAAACAAAATTATAGTATGCATATATGTGTGCATGTGGGGAGGCATAAAAAATAGCTCACAAAATAGAGAGGTCGCTGAACCATTTATTTTTCCAGTTGAAGGTTAATTTGAAGCAACAATAAAACGGATGTTACCATTTCCTCATCATCTTTTGTGGGTAATAAACTTCGGACTGTCTCAGCATACCCCTGCACTTGAGTTGGACTATAAGACATCTCCGTCTATTCTCACCATCAGTGATTAACATCTCACTTTGCTGACGATGATTCCTTGTTCAGCTGATTGTAAAGTGATAGAGAGAAGTATTAAATTGGACCTTGATGCTCATCATAAGCAAATTTCAACGTATAGGAAGAAGAAATCGCAAATGAGATCTCTATAACATCTCTTTATTTGTCATTCACAATGGAAATGGAAAGTGACTTTTGACTCCTGATTGTCAGGGTTTTCTCTGAATAAACACCCGAGAAGTCTCACATGTACAGTATTTCATCTAGAGCATTGGTTCTCAATCTTTTTGATGCAATCTTTTTAGGCACCCATGTTTTGGCCAATATATTTCTTCTCATATTTCATTCTGCAGTTATGACAATTCTGCTTGTTTTCAAAATTTTTTATTAACATAAAATGGTATTGTTGATATAATTAAACAATTTATTTAGTGATTTCTATAAGAATCAAAATTCTGATGCTGTAAGTTTTTCCAATAAAAATAATATTTATTGAGAGGGAAAAATGTAACAATTTAAAATAATTTTAAGTAAAAATTTTTTTGTTTGTTTAATGTTTAAATTTTTAAGTATTTAGGTTTTTCGAATTTAATGCCCTGTCCCCCATTTGAGAAACCACTGCTCAAGAGTTTCAAAATAGATTTCAACAATGTCTCAAACTTTGCCCAGATTTATTAACATGTTTGTTTGTGATCAATGGTCAGAGATTTCAATATGAACTAAAAAATTATCATAAAATCCTCCCAAAACCAAATATCTGCTCTATTCTATCAACATTAATATTTTAGCTTTCTACACTTATTGTATGATGACAAATTGTGTCTGTTTTCATTCTAGGGGCAACATCTGAATTTTTGAAGGCGAACTTTGATTGTGGCATAGCTCCAATAAGTCTTCTGGGCTAAAAAATATCAACCCTTAAGCAATAAAATTATCCTCTGGGATTGGTTTGACAGATATATGATTATTGTAATTATACCATTGCCCATCAGTCAGTTGGGCAGAAAAAGGCTGTTTAGTGAATTGAGCAGATTGAATCATGTTTTGGCCACTTGCTTATTTGTGGCTTTGCAATTAACAACAGCCTAGCAGACTCACACACAGTTCAAGACCACCCCGACAGGCATGGAAATGCAAGTACTGTGTGATGTTTTTCTTTTTCCAAGCATCTGCTTATTGACTGGCATCCACAGAGCTGGACGTACAAGCACACATTTAGATTGGGCCTGCAGCCCTCTGACCAGGCGACTGAAACTCAACACTCATTTAGCAGTGGCTCAACATAAGGCCCACTTCACAACTTAACACAGCACACACACTTAGAAGTTCATTAGATCAGTATCCTGTCTTAATTGCCTCTGTGTAACACACACCACAGGCTAATGCAGGGGGTCTCAATGCTGGATATGTCCACCTTTCTCAGAGCTGTTTTTAGGAATGTTTTTGTGCGCCCTTGTTGTTGCAGCAAGTTTGTTTCCCAACCTATCATATTTCAGTTTCTCATTTAATTTCACTTTTCTTTAGTAAGACCTCAGATGATTGATAAACAAATCTGCTTATATTAATTTTTAAACGTGTCATCTTTTAGAAAAGGTCAGTGCTGAAACATTTAATTAGTAATGCATTTTCTATTGTTTTCTATTCTAGATTATCAATGATTTTTGCAACAATGAAAAATTTAATTGGACCACAGAAGGTGGTCTTGAATATCTCACTAGACTCAAGTAAAAAAACATGGTTCATATGACATTTAAGCAACAACTTTGTCTCAGATGTTTCTTCTTAAAATAAAAATAGACAAATTAGCTAATAGTTGTCATATGACAAAGAGGCTCCATTTCATTCAGCAATTCAAAAATGTTCCTACTTTATTTAGGATGAAATGAAAATAGAAACAAAAGAGATGGTTGTTAAGGTAGATGGCATAGCTCAATTTTCAATTTGATGAAAAATGTTTTGAATTCAAATTTAAATTTCTGACTTTTGATCGCAGACTCTGGTATACTGGAAAATCAGAGCACACTCTTTAAAAAAAAATAAAGCTTCTTTATTGGCATCTGTGATTCCATGATGAATCCATGGAACATTTCCATTGCACAAAATGTTTTATTTATTTGTTTATGGTGGAAAAATATTCTTTAGATTATTAGATAGTCTTCACACTAAGTAAGTTGGTTCAGTTTTTCGAGAGATCTCATTTGTGAATTTCCTTTCCGTGGGTGTGTTAGATTAGGTCTGTATTATAACGCAATACAGACGTACTTTAGTGGAGTTTATTCACTGCAGTCTTATTCACTGTCCCTTTTCCGCTTTCACAAAAGCTTTCAGTTACACCTAGCTTCGTAACTTCCTGTTTAGCTAGGTGGCTGGCCGGCGGTGGGCCGATGTCGTAACGGTGAGTATCAGGAAAAGAATACACACGCCTGGGATGGAGTCCCAGGCAGCTGGCCCAGTGTGTGTGTGTGTGTGTGTGTGTGTGTGTGTAGGAAACAGCAGAGCAACTTGCAGCGAGCAGCAAATTAACTCTCATATCTCCTATCTCTCCCCTCTCTTTTCACTTTCCTGTTTGGACTTGTGATTGGAGGCACAGGCTGTGACAGTTGATGGAAGAAGAGAATGAGAGAAAAAGTGCAAATAAAAGGGAAAGCATTTATTTACAGTGTGATGATGCTAGTTAAGGATGCGGTTTCACACAGTATGTGCCCCCCCTCCTTCGGTCTGATAGGGGGCAGGCTGGAGCTCGGGGTGGTGGCCTGTATTGTGGAGCTGGTCTGGATTTTGGGCTGGGCCCTTTAGCACACTCTCAACGTGTTTCCTGTATGGGCAGAGAGATGAGAGCAGGTTAGCGCAGGTCACTGGGAAAGAGAACGGAGGGGAAGGACTGTGATCGAGGGTGTGTGATTGTGGGGGGTGTATAATTGTCTCAGATATGTAGAAAGGTCATGTGTTGGGTTTTTTGGGGCTCTTTACCTTTCTCGTCACCGCAGTGAACCAAACGTAGTCCCACAAGCAGAATCAATCATCATACCACTGCTGTATAGCACTGAATCAGCGATTAACATGTGCCGCCCATAGTCATTTGAGGTGTTTGTAATTACAAACCATAAAAATTATCAACAGGCCGATGTAAATCAGAAATACCCTTTTTTCCCTAAAACCTCCTTCTTGTCATATCTGTGTTTAGAGCGCAATGAGACATTGGATCTACTTTTTATTCACGGATCGCTTGTCTAAATAGGGGAAGTGGCGCACTGACCGTTTAGCCTTGTGCTAATGACGAATGCTGAGAAGTTTGAGCTGAGAGGGCAGACTTTGGGTAATGATGAAAGCTTTAGTATGGAGATATGCTGCTAGGTTCAAGGTGCTATGATTTGTCCTTGTTAAACTACATTCTGTTTGCTTGTAGTCGGTGAGGTTCTGTGTTTGATTGAACAGCCTTTGCCATATTTTTGTGCATATAATTGGATGCAGAATTCCTACAGAATAGTGTTTTTCCATCCTTTCATATTCACAAAAGTTGAAAACTTTGATAGTTTATGGTCAGTAAGATTTTTTAAAAATAAGTATTTTATGCAAGACGCCAATACGGTGGAATTTATTTGACTAAAAGTCAAAAACAACTATTATTGCAATTTAACAATAATGATTTTTTTTTAATGTTTTAACATTTTTTAGTATTTTTTTTTTAGTATTTTTTGATGTATAGAAAGTTTAAAAGAACATCATTTATTTGAAATAGAAATCTTTTGTAACATTATAAATGTCTTTACCACCATTTGTTAAAACAATTGCTGAATAAAAGCATCAGATTCTTTTAAAATATTACTGACCTTGAACCTTTGAACTGCAATGTATGTATGTGTATATATCACAAAAAATAACTTTGTTGCAAATGTGTATCCTTACATACTAGTCTGTATCTTAATGAATCATTCAAAAATGCTCACAAAAAGGACAAATTCTTAACTTAATGAACTCACTAAAAAAGTCAGAGCGCCTCTGAAAATCTGACTCGCTTACTGAACTGATTAAACTTAAACCATACTGACCTGATTACAATGTATAGTTAAAAGAATCGGCCCTTAGGAATTATTTGTTTGTGATTTGGTCCACACTGTATTGGTCATATCAACACATTGGTCATACTGTAAAATATGATTTTTTGCCTATACATTTATAACTACTATTTATAACTAAAATTCTGTAGTTTTTACAAAATAATTTTGGCAGCTGTGGTTGCCAGAATAAGTTTGTAAAAAATACAGAAAAACTGTAAACACATTTACGGCCCAAAACTGTACATTTTACAGTATAAAACTGTAATTTACAAACAAGAAAATTTGAATGTAAACCAGTAAATTCAACAATGCACACTGCTATTAAAATCTGTTTTGTACCTTTAACATACCGACAACCACCATAATAATGCAGGTGGTAAAAGAGAAAGCCACATGAAGAATCAAAGCTCATCAGAAGTAGCTTCGCCACAAGCAGATGTATATACTAATATATAGAAGGTGCACGGAGTCATTCATGAAAACACAAAACACCATCATGGTAACACACAATACTTAAATAATGCATTAAACTTTCATTAAACAACAGAAGATGTAACATAAAGCCCAAATATACATAACTAATAACAAAAACTATTAAAAAAACATGATTATTTAAACAAAATACTTTCAAATGTGGAGTGTCATGCAGGGAATTCTGGGAATATCAGTTTACAGTTTTTGACTGTAAATTATACATTTATTTGTTATTTTTACTTCTAAAAACGGTAAAATTAACAGCATTTTACTGTAAAATTACATGAAATGTCTGGTTAGATATTTTACAGTTTTTCCCTGTATATAGTACGGGAACTTACTGTTAATCTATTAACATTTTTTTTCCGTAGTGTTTTTACAAAATTTTACAGTTAAAATTACACTTATTTTTTACAGTGTGTTTTATAATATCAAATATATAAATTAATACTTTTATTCAGCAAGGATGCATGGCAGTAAAGACTTTTGTTGTTATAAAACAAAAATCTATTTAAAATAAAAGCTTTCCTTTGAAGTGTTGTTCTTTTGAAAAAATAAAAAATATTAGGAGGACCTTTGAAAACATTTTTTTAAAACATTGATAATAATAGGAAATGACTCCTGACTACCAAATCAGCATATTAGAATGATTTATGAAGGATCATGTGACACTGAAGACTGGAGTGACGGCTGCTGAAAATGTAGCTTTGCCATAACAGAAGTAAATTATATTTTAAAATATATTAAAATATACATTTTATTTTAAATCATAATATTTTACAATATTACTATTTTTGATTTAAAAAATACAGCCTTTTTGAGCATAAGATACTTCTTTCAAAAACATTTTTAAAAATCCTACCCAAACTTTTGAAAGGTAGTGTAATACTGTTTAATAAAATAGAAATGCTTTATGTAATTAAAATATAATTTTATATAATGACATTTTAATCAGTCATCATTAAATATTTATTTTTGACATTTTATTTTGAATGGTACACTAGGAAGTTCCCCAAAGAAGAGGGGCAACAGCTTGCAAAATTACACCAGCAAGGCTCAACCGTTCATTGCCCCAATGTGTGAGAGCATGTGCGCTAACTGCTAGGCTACAGCTCCACTAGAGCTTCATGTGGCTGACGTGTTCATGCCTGTCCCCTGGAGAGCAAGAACAGGAATCTGTCCATTAAAGCAGTCTCTGAGAACACTAGTGTACACTAGGCCAGAGGGGACAAGAACAGTAAATCTGTGAAAGTGGATCTAGACCTGACAAACATGTGCAGAGCTGAGAAATACAAACAAACAACAGGCCTGTTTGTCTCCCTGTTGGGTTACAGAAATACACACAAATGTACACCCACCCACACACACACACAC